TNTGAAATTTGTTTATAAGTGATTTAACATTTTTGGGGCCTTTGGCCCGACTGGTGTTTAGCCAGTAAATCCGACATGGCGTCCGGTGTGTCGTCTGCCACAACAAACCTAATAATTAAAGACAATACGGTAAAGGTTATACTTTCTGACAATGTAAAACTGCTTGCTGCTGACGTTATAAAATTAGTTGAAGATAACTTGGGGACGATAGCGTTCTTGCTATCGTTCCTTGTAATGGATCATATGATGTTACCGTCGTCAATAATAAATTAGCTAGTGTTATAGCACGAGATGGTTTGGTCCATGGCTCTGAAGGTCTTCATTGTAAATTAATAGATTCCAGAATAAAAGTTGTGTCTTTCATGCATATCCCTGTTTATGTTTCCGACAAGGATATTGAAGTCAAATTGAAATCTTGGGGTGTGACCTCATGTGGTCCTATAATCAGAAAAACTAAGGACTTTGATGGTAAAAAGAAGTATGATGGTACGAGGTTTGTAAAGGTGGAATTCCCCCCTACCGTCTGTAGTTTACCTTATGCAACTGTTTTCGATGGTCAGTCGTATTCAGTGCGTCATAATGACCAGGAGAAGGTGTGTTTTATCTGTCTTGTACCTGGTCATGTTGTTTCGAATTGTCCCGAATTCAAGTGCTTCAGATGTTATAAACAGGGCCATGGGAAAAAGAGCTACACTTCGGTTCTTTGTCCAAGATGCAATTTATATGATTGGAAATGTCAATGTTTACAACCTGATGATAATGTTTTTACTGGAGCTAAAAACAACATTACTGATAACCTATCAAGATCTGTTGTTTTAACGAATGAAGTTCATGAACCAACAACAGCTTTACCGTTAAGTGTTGATGTGGTGTCGGTGAGTTTAACGGAATCTGGAAAGGTTAACTGTGATATTAATGCAGGTGGTTCGTCAAACATTTTTTCTGACATTGATAGTACTGACAACGTTCAGCCAATTACTACCCTAAGTAAAAATGTGTGCGATGCGACTGATCAATATGATTATGAGACGGCTACTGGTTGTGGAGATATGCATGGTGTCATTAAAGGAAGTGCTTCATCTATTTGGGATGGAAATGGTAGTCATAAGGAGTCTGATACAAAAAAGAGCTCTAATATATTTATTAAAAATGATTCTGATAAGGTCGATGAAATTTCATATGAATGTACTAGTTCTGTAACTGATAGTTCTTATTTCAGAGATTGTAATGATGCGGTTGAACTTTTTAATTTTGATGATGATTCACTTCCTGCTAGCGCTCCTGTTCCCGAAATAGTTGCTGAAGTAAAGAAGGGTAGAAAAGTTTCTGATGTCAAATTTGGTTGTCAAAGTGACAATGATATGGAAATTCAGCAATTAGCTTCTGACAGCGAAACTAAAATTTCCTTGAAGAAGTCTCAGCGTATGTTATATTCTAAATCCGGCTCTGAAAAGTCTCTTTTGAAAAATAAGGTGAAACAAGGTGATATTTCAAAGAAAAGTGGAAATGTTCTTGGTAAAACACTTGCCAAAAGTGTAAAAGATCAAATGCGCAAAAATGGCAAATAATCTGAACTTTATTGCCTCCTTTTAAAACTTATAGTTATGGTGAAAATAGCAACAATAAATGTTCGTGGACTGGACACTATTTCTAAATTTCAGGCTATTTCAGGCTATTTCGAGTTTTGAGTCCAAGGATTTAGATTTTATATGTGTTCAAGAGACACATTGGTGCGATAACTTTATTAACTCGTATAAACATTTGTGGAATGGTGACATTTTGTTTTCGAATAGCCCAACGGGTTTTCGTGGTTGTGCAATTTTTGTTTCAAAAAAACACACTGATAATTACTCTTTTGTGTCCAGAGGCGACGATGGTCGCTTTGTGGAATGTTTGCTTCAAATTAAT